TCTGCACCAATGCTTGAAGTAACTGAAATGTATATACAGCAGGAATATTAAGTTTAATGGCTTTGGCACTCATGGTCAACTAAATCACAACATAAAGAGGCAATACTCTGCGTTCACAGCTTTACTGATTCATCTAGAAATGATAAACTTTAAATAAACCCCCATCATGACATGCTCATTGTACCTGACGTAGAGCAATGAAAAATGCAAAATATGGGATTGGGCCTCAAAAAGATATTGAGTAAAGCAGCTCCTTTTAAACCCAGTGGACTATAGGAACATGTATTTTTATTAGCATGTAAGTATCATGATAGAATTAATTATTTCTAAGCATAACACAGTGACTGTTTGAAAGTGTACAGTACTTTGTTCCCTGAGATACAATCAGTTTTAACTGGTTAGCTAAAATGTGGTGTACACATTAATTTGTAATATGGAAACAGCCTAAAGATGATTAACTTAATTTTGAACATTAAGTATTAACTATCACTCTAACACTATCACATATGAGGAGAAGAACTATTGTAGGTTCAGAGACAAGACAAAGGATAAGAAACTGTTTGAAATATTCACTATTCACTATTTTAAGTTTGCAAGTATCTGCAAAAATTCCTTCCCTCAAATATTTTGCCACATTTTTCAGTGACTATTCATGAATACAATTTTAAAACCAAGCTATAAAAATTCAGTTCAACAGGAAATCATAGTATAAATTATTGTAATAAAATTTGAATTACTGGTATTTATAATTTATTAATCATATTTATTGCACCAAAGTAGTCAAATGTACCTAAACATTCTATAACAAATCTAATGAAGTTTTAATTTAATTAAAATCAAATTAAAAATAGTCTTTAGAAAATGGTATCACAATGTACATTACGTTTTTGGTTATAGACAATTATGTAATTATGACAATTATTAGAATTATGTAACCAATTGCTACAGTTGCAAAGTACCATCACCTTAGAAAATGCAGTGACATGTATAGCAAGATTAAATTATAGCATTAATTAAAATACTTATACCACAAGAACCTTTTGCAACATTTCAGTCTTGCTTTTTAGTCTTCTGGGGGATGCCTTGCCCAATTCACTATTTAGCCAATTAAACTCCAGATTTAGCATTGCTCAGGCAAGTTGACCAATAGACACAGCCATACAGAGTCTCTTTTTTGATTACATATTGGTTTACAGTTTAAATAATAACCTTTTTAACATTCAAGTTAATTATAAAATACAATAAAGGATCACTACCTAAAAAGGTATTATAGGACAAGTACAAAATGGTCTGATCTTACAGTTAATTTATGATGTTGTCTAATGAGAAGCAAAAGTTACTTTGAAATCACAAAATATATTTCACATTAAGTAGGACGTGATAATACTAACCTTCTTCTCTAGCTAAGCCAAGCTAAAAATAGGTGCACTATACTAGGGGTACAAGCAACCCATGGGCTGTCAACAACACAGAAGCCATTTTGTGGCAGTCTAAAAGCTGTTACTGAAATATTTTTTCTTAAGAATTAAATTGCCAGTTTTCTCACTGATAATGATAAAAGACTCTGATAAAATGCTGGAATGCGAAGTTAATTAAACAAGGAATTTCATTGAGAAACTATGGGGGAAAAAGCATTTATTTACCACTTTAAAAAGTTGTGGTTAAGTTTGCTTCATTGTTTTGTTTTTGCACTAGTGACTATGTTGATAGATTGTGGGAAAAATATTTTACATCTCCTGCTTAATTGGCTCATGTCAGCATCACATTTGGTGAAACATCTATGGAGTGTCAAGTATTTTCATGATGTCTACACTTGCTATTATGTTTCACGACCGCTAGAAATATCCAGCACTGAAAAAAATGTACAGACATCCCATTCACCATTTAGTGAGCCACCACTGCAGCCCTTGGTCAATTTTACATTTGTGTCTGCTGCAGTACAATGTACAGTATAGTGACACTATACACAACAGAAGAGATGTGAGAACATCTCATTATATTGAATTGATAGCATTATTATTAATTTTGGAAATGGTACTGTTTTATCAGTTTTTCATTTAGCATGCCACAGTGATATGGCATTTAGTGCTACTGTATCACTGCACCTGAGTTTAATTTTAGTAGGTATTTGTCTACAGTTCTGTATATGTATTCCCTTTCTGTGTTTGACTGGGTTTTCTCCAGGTACTCTGATTTGATCCCAGCCTCATAAAGACATGCTGATAGGTTTCAATGGCTACTCTAAAGGGTCTCTTCCTTCATGTCCGTATGTTGGATTGCCATCCCATCTAGCCAGATACTGATTCTATAAAAATGCAATTACACATCAGTGGCTTTATAGATAATTAGATCTAGAGGATAAGTTGAATAGAATGATGGTGAGAGACAGTTGAGTAAGTGCAGTCCTGAAGTTCAGGTTCAGCTATTTCCACCACCTGGACTAGAGACTGAAGCAAAGTATGTACAGTATATACAGTACAAGCAACAGTGATTCAGAGGGATTGCAGAATCAGGCCCTGCCAGGAGAATGTTGCTGCAGTTCAAACAGATCTAAGGCCTGGTCTTGCAGCTGAGTAGTTCCAGGGAAAGACTCTGCTGAGTGTATTAGGGGGAAGATCATATCAGAAGAATAAGGGATTAAAGAAAATAACATGGTACAGTCAGAAGAAATAGTTTGATGGATCAGAAGGGGGGGAGAAGAAGAGGTGAAGAGGAGGTCAGATGCTGATAGGCTAATGGTGAGATTAATTGTATAAAGTATAAAGAATATTCAGTACACAAATTTGCAAGATGTTACAAAACAATGTAAAGCAGAAGATTTAAGCCTAGAACTGGTAGGGAAAATGACAGGACAAGATAAGAGAGCCCAGGTAGTTGGTATGGAAGATTAAAAAGACGGGTTCTAGATCTCTTCATTACAACTGTGAAAATAATAAAATGGATGAAAATCACCCAAACCAAGACACCTGGGATCTGAAAAGTGATTTATATCAGAAGTCTTCACCCTGACTTAGAACATGGGGTAGGTTTTGCGTAGTTTTATACTGTTTGCTCACTTTTCTGGGATGCAAAGATCTTTAAAAAAATAAATGACCATATTTACGAACTTTAAAATGGATCAGCACCTATCATATAGACAAACTACCCTGAGGTACTTAACATAACATTTAGAAAGTCTGAGCTTTTTGTTTTGAACTTTTGTATTATCAATAGTACCATTCTTGTGTAACCTCATTAAAGTGGAGTTGGGCCACAATCCATCTAGAGGAACAGCCCTCACTAGCTAAGACTTTGCACTTTCATTTTGTTCTATTTTATTATTATTCTTTAAATATTTATAGTAATGAATGGCACAGTAGTTCGGCTCTTAGCATGGCTGCCTCATAGCTCTTAGTTCTTGGGATTTGAGTACAGTCAGGTATACTCCCCATGACCATGAGGGTTTTCATAGAGTGCTCTGATTTTCTCAAACAGTCCAAAGACAATTTGTCAAAGTTTGTTAATTGTCCCTGTATGGGTGGAAGTGTCCTGCAATACATTTCTGCAGGATGTAACCAGCTTTGTCTGTCAGGTTAGGCACTGGCTCACTGCAACCTTGCATTAAACTAAGTGATTGTTAAAAGAAGTATGGATGGACTTCTAGTACAGCACGTACTGTATGTATATTATAACACCTGCTATGATAGGTTCTTGATGAAAGAAATGACTAATGCTGTATTACAATGTAATTATTCACTGCAAAATTACTACAGCTATCTTTTATTTACATTTATAATTGTGTTCCATATTTCATGCAAGTTAAACATATGCTGCAATTTAATGTTACTGAGGGACTTTGCTGTCAGCTGAGCTCATAGGTCTCAGCCACATTCCTTTAGTAACTCTGACACACGAGTAAGTGATTGACAAAAACATATTAAACTATAGCCATTCAATTATCATTGTGCAAAGAGAATATTCCTCAGGCATCACTATTACATGTAAAGGGAAAAAGCTGATATTCACCACACACTCATTTTCTTCCTCTTTGTTATTTTTTCAGAAAATCCTGGCGTTAGCCATGGCTGCCAAGGGGGATGTGCTACATGTTCTGATTACAATGGATGTCTGTCATGCAAGCCAAGGCTGTTTTTTTTCTTGGAGAGAAATGGGATGAGGCAGACTGGAGTTTGCCTGCCCTCCTGCCCAAGTGGTTACTATGGCACAAGGTCACCTGACATAAATAAATGCACAAGTAAGTGATAATGAAGATTATTAAAGTGGAAAACCATTATTGAACTTGATCAAACAAATATAAAAAAGATCAAATTATGTTTACACTAGCGAAACATAGAAATAAAAACAGTAAATAAAACACTTAGTAAATAGAAAAGCAGAATAACATTATAGCTCTGATTACACTGAATTATGTTGAATAATAAAGTAAAAATATCACTTGTCTTTGATATTTCTTGTCATTTTTTTAAAGGTCATTGAATGCAATACAAATGAGAACATACCTATTTTATACTGCTGTGTTTCTTTTTTTAATAGCCTTGGTCTTTCCTTGACCCCTGTTGCATTAACCCACTTGCACTTTTCCCTGTCTCTTCATCAGGCTTAATCTGTCTTAAACCTGGAGAATTTCCCAGAATCAAGCTTCATTGGTTTGATACCTTAAATAAGAGTTCTGCAATTTCTAACATAACAAAATAATGTTGTCATTACCATGAGTTCATATCAGTGTACTGCTGGACATTTATACTAAGACTACAAAATGAAAGACCGAGCAATGAGTGAGTGTTTTGGTGGTACAGTACAGTACATTATATACAAAAAGCATGAACTTATATTCTATACAGTGCCTTTCAAAATATTTCACACCCTTCTTATGGTGTCCCATTTTTTAAAACCACAAAATTATACATAAACATTTTTTTTAATGTATTCAAAATGCTGAAACTGAAGACTAAAAAAATATGTTTGCTGCATACATTTTCAAACCTGTGAATTTATTATTTGGTGGAAACACCTTTTACAGCAATTACTGCTGCAAGTGTTTTACCCTGTTTGCATACCAGCTTGGTACAGTTTTTGCCAGTTCTTCTTGGCAGATTTGATTAAGATCTCTAGCATTTGTTCGGACTGCTGATGACCAGCAGTTTTTAAGTTTTCCAAAGATTCTTAATTGGATTCAAGTCAAGACTTTCAAATGCAGCTATAGCCTTGTGCTTTTCATAATTCTCCTGCTAAATGGTGAATTTTCACCCCAGTTTACAGACTAAGACTGATATTTGCTAGTATGTTGTTCTTTCTATTTTTTTTTCAGTCTTCAGTCTTTTTTCTTCAATCCTAAAAAGCTTTCCATTGCCTTCTTAGGAGAAAAATAACTATAGCATTTAGTATTGGTTAGCTGTAGGGATAGTATTGGCTAGGTGATACACTATATTGGTTTTGTGCCAGATGTAATATTTTACACTTTCAGTGTATACCAATCAGTTTGAAGATTGTCTCATCTGACCACATACAATAGGCTATGCCATGTGTTTCTAGCATCATAGCATCATTTTGTTGATATGGGGTATTGTTGATTGATGCACATTTTCTCCCATTTCAACCATTGAACTTTTTAGTTTTTTCAAAGTTGTTGTTGGCCTCTTAATTTCAACTGTCACCAGTTTTGTCCTTGCCCAACTGCTCAGGTTGGAGGGATGACCTAATCTAGGCAGTGACTGGATGGTACAGTACAATATACCTCCCAATTCTAGATAATTGAGTATCAAGATACTAATTGACTAAACTAGGTCTTTGGGTAGACCATGCTACCTTATACCTTTTCCTGATCTATCTTTTTCACTGACTTTTCATTAATTGTTTGAAATAGAATAAAAACACCTATTACTGTACAGAGCCCTCTCAACTAACTAATGTTTGTGGCTTGTTAAGGTAATTTTGTGCAGCTAAATTGATTTAAGTTTGCCACAGCAAAGGGTTCGAATACTTAAGCAATCATGACTTTAAGTTTTTCATTCATGTTATGTATTTGCTACTTTTTGTTGTGTTAACTTGTGGTTGTATATGTAATAGATATTAATTGCTATTTCAAAATGTCATGACTACAGTTTTAAAGTCACAACAGATGATAATTGTACAAGGGTCTGAATAATTTTTCAAGACATTGTATAAATACTTTTTCGTTAATACAATCATAAATAGTCATGAGTATAATTTTGCACATGCGAGCCTTTAAAAGTTGCAATTTTTATTAAAGACAAAAACAGCCCAATATTACCATGAAATCTGCAAAAGTCAATGAACTTTTTGCACAACTTCTGAAGAAAGTTACTTGAGAACTATAGCAAAAATACCACAGTTTAAAACTATCAAACTAGCTTTTAAGGATATCTTTCAGAAAAGATGGTTCTTATAATAAAGCTGGAATTCTGACATAATATGAAAAAAACTGAAGTAAAACTAAGTAACTTAATATGTTGTTTTACATCTGCTTCATATGTTGAAAATTTGGAAGAATACAGGAAAATAAGAACTTTAGATTAGTAAGGTTTCTTCCAAGTCTGTCATGGACTGTGAAAATGTAGTTGTATTTATTCTTAGAATATTGTGAAGACATATGCATGTTAGGGTTTCATTTTAATTTCAGCATAATTATCTTGAAATTATTATAATATTATATTATCACATGATACAGTATACAGTATATATATAATATGATAACCCATGTTTGATGTGAAATTAAAGATTAGAAAGTAAAAGAGACAAAAATACAAAAATACCAAGGATTTTGACAGTGTAAAGGCTAAATGTACCCAATTAATAAAACTATATACAAGTTTTTAAAAAGAAACTGCTTTCATCAGTGTTTTTTTATTGCTGTGCATTGTTACAGAATTAATGTGCCTCTGGAATGTAGAAAAAAGTGCAATGCTAATTTTGTCTGTAAAGTAAATTCTTCAACTCATTCAAGTCCAAGAAATGTTAATGGTAATAATAGAGATGAGACTACTAACAGCATATTTCTGAGCACTATTTTATCTGCAATTATTCAGAAATTATCACTCTCAAGCACTCATAATACGATGTTCATATCATTAATGAAATGTTTCTTTCCAAAGAGAATGGGAAATCCTGTGAACTTTCAAGTTATTTTTCTAAATTTCCAGAGTTCACACTTCATAAGAGTTAACAATTACATACATACATTAGCAATATACTTACAGTACTTGTATACAGTATGTTTACTTTAATTTTCCTCTGTTTTTCAGAATGCAAATCAGACTGTGATGCTTGCTTCAACAAAAATTTCTGCACCAGATGTAAAGCTGGATTTTATTTATATAAGGGAAGGTGTCTAGAGAGTTGTCCAGAAGGACTGGGTCCCAATGACCAACTGATGGAATGCACCACTATTGGTAAGTTCTCCTAAAGTTTTTGCTTGTCTGTAGAAATGATATCAAACAGTCCCACATATAAATAGAATTATTTCATCAGTGGAAGTATTTTGAAATTCCTAGGTTTTCCTTAATAACAATATGTTGAAAATACACTCATAGGCCATTTATTTGTGTGGTAGGTCTTTTATGGTAGATACACACTGCATTTGCTAAGATTGCTTTGAATAAGATTCAGAGGTAGCATAGAATAATGAGGACTAAAAGATTATGGGATAAATTCCCACCACAGAAACTGTTTTTATATACTTGAACTTCAATTTGTTCAATAAATCCAGCTGTATAGATGGGTGCCAGCATTGTTGGGGTGATCCTCTATTAGACTATTGCAGAGATTGTCATTCCTAGTCTTGAGCAACTACAGTCCAGCAGGATTTATAGGCAGCCTTAATTGATCAATGATCGGCGATCTGGAAAGTATGTTAACTCCCCTTAGTAAGTGCTGTAACTGATGGATCTAATCAAGTCATTCAGAATTTAGCTGGAATGAAAATCAGAACATAACATGGATCTCTCAGACATATTCATGCTATTATCATCAGTGTAACAGTTTGTACCTGCACCACATGCATCAATGGAATGCACAGCAGATGTGATATCTCATAAGAAGCAATATATTTTTTAAAGTTACTTCAAGTAATCATTCTTGCCTAAGCATTTGTATTTTGCCTCCTTCTCCCCCGCCTCCACCTGCTTTTGGATGGGTAGCAACACACTGCTAACCTACCCCAGGCTTGCTGCCAATACAGGAAAATCAGCAAGTTAAGCATTGTAGAACAGTGACACCCTGAAGGATAATGCCAGTAGCTAATAATGCAATGCAATATGTAAGGTCTTATAATTAACGGTTCTCGTTAGTTCTGCTGACTGAATAACAATATTTGTCTGGTATGTACTGTGTTTCTTTCAGAGTGCAAAGCTGATTGTGAGTCCTGCTTCAACAAAAATACATGCACCAGATGTAAAGCTGGTCTTTATTTACATCTAGGAAGATGCCACCATGTTTGTCCAGATGGCTTTGAGCCAAATGATCGATTAATGGAGTGCAGTATTAAAGGTACATTTTCACAATTCACCTGGACAAGTCTAAAGAGATGAAATGATATGATTTTATAGTATCTTTTGTTAATGCAAATAATGTCCTATGCCCGTGCCAGCATCTTAATTATAAATTATAAATGATAAATAAAATCAATAAAGAATTATGCTGTTAATATTAGCAGTTTGAGATATACTGTAATTTGACATTATTCTTTTTACTTTAAATAAATACAGAAATGAAAACAAATATAGGAGAGTGGTCACATGTTAACTGATACTTGTTAACCCCAAATAAATTTTATTTTAGGTGACAAATAGGGGATTAGTAACAGTCAGGGGAAAGATTTTCCACAATGAATAGACAAGTAAAAAAAATAAAAATAAAAACAGTGCCTCTCTCAAGTTTCCTTTTGTTACTTTGTTAGCTGAAATCAATTTCAATGACCAATCATCCAGAAATGTAAAAGACAGCCAACTTTATAAATTAATTTATTGTAAAATAAAAAATGGAAATGTCCATATTCAATTCAGATAAATTCCTTACAATAAGTAATCAAAATTGCAAAAAGCTGATTTTGAAAGGGAAATTTCACATTCTATTGTAGCACAAATAGTTCAGGTTAGGAACATTCTCTTTTTCAAGGCTTTACATCTTGGGTTTGCTCTGTCTTTTTAATTACTTGATATCTCTCATCAACTTAGCCTTTATTATTTGAAAATTCACAGTATCACAATATGCCAAGACTGCTCCATTGAATGCTGTTTGATTTCTCCTTTAAAAGACTGAAATGTATTTAATGTCTTTCTAACATGCTAGTACAATAGCTCTAAATCATTAGAATTTTACCATAAAATAATTCACAGATGAGAATTACACCAAGAAAAAAAAACATTATGTATTTAATAGAGTGAGACCGTATAAATTAACAAGAAGTATATCAGTGTATACAAAATGCATACTGCATAACGCATGCTATAGCGGCACATTGGCGTAGTGATTAGTACTGCTGTCTCATAACACTGGGGCCCTGGGTTCAATTTTAAGCCTGGCGTGCTATCTACATGGAGTTTATACAATATGTTCTTTCTGTGTTTGTGTGGGTTTACTCTGGGAGCTCCAGTTTCCTCCCACAGTCCAAAGACATACTAGTAGGTTAATTGGCTTCTGGGAAAACTGTTCCTAGTTGTGGGTGTGTGCCTGTAAATCTGCCCTATGATAGACTGGCATCTTGTCCAAGGTGTACCCTCTCTTGTGCCCTGGTAGGCTCCAGCTCCCTTATAACCTTGAATTGCAAGAAGCAGCTGGAAAACGGGAAGACTGATAACCCACATGTTGTGTGCCACTAAAAAACAGACTTTATAAATCTTTTCTCTGATCATCCCTCAGTGCACTGTGAAGTGGGTGAGTGGAGCACATGGAGCAACTGTTCTCGGAAAGGGAGGACCTGTGGTTTCAGAAAAGGAGAGCAACACCGGAGTCGAGAGATCCTCCAACATCCTTCTGCTCATGGAGACCCCTGCCCAGTTACAATTGAAAAGAGAAAGTGTGTTGTACAAAGGCAGAAATGCGTAAAAGGTAAATATTATTTTCTGTTTATAAAGTGTGAATCTGTTTTGAGTTGACCACTTTCTACATACAGTACCTAGTACTTCTAAATAGTGTTTTTTTGACAGCCTTCCCAAATCACAGGTTTTATTCTATCCTTGTATATTTCCTGTACTGTATTAATACTACATTCATTAATACTAAATTCCAGCAACTAGTTTTAGTACAGATATTTTACAATGCGCTTAAAATTCACGGGATCTATTGAGATATTAGATAAGAGAAAGAAGAGAAAGAAGATGACATTCAGCAATGATGCAGAAAAAGGAAACGTTCTACCCAAGTGAAGGCTCTTGATTTATATCTGAATTGAGTGCAGTTTGTGTAAGATGTGAATCAGTGCTCTCTCCAAGACGTATGGCATCATGCATCACAAATCTGCGGAGTGCAGTGAAAAATATACGGGCTGCACCACCCAACTTTTAAATATATACAGGAATGACGTCAGTTTGGCCAGGACGTTCTGGTGGAAAGAGGTATACCTGTCCAAGAAGCAAGATAAAATACCTGATCTCAACTTTATTTCCTTGAACTGATGCAATGTCAACTCAGATTCAGATTTTTGTTTTGGTTTTTGTGGTCTACAGTATGGGTGTCCCGTTCTTAGAATTCCAGAAAATATATAACTCACATTTTGAAATTAATATTTAATCACTCTTTTTGGTTTTTTTGGTTTTTAATCTCTGGTGGGAGTTTACATAAAGGAAAAATGTACATTGTTTAGTCAGAGACAATGTAAATAAATCCTGAGGCCCCACAGTCAAAAATATTTTATTATTGTTTAAACACCTCAGTACAGTGAGTACAAATGAAGTAAAAGCAGCTACCATCCAGATCATATCAATTAATTTCTCTAGGGTACAAAAGTTTAGCTTTGCATTATGTAGAAATAGGAAGTGATTTGTTAAGAAATACTACAGGATGTTTTATGTCTGCAACTTAGACCCCTTGAAATGCAGCTCTGGCCTCATATTTTCCCCCACGTAAATCAAAAGAAAAACATCGAATTCCCTTTAGGTGCCCTCTGAATCAAACACAAGAGAGAAGTTTCAGGGAGCTTGAAGTCTTGGGATGGAGTCACGGTAGTTCTGGTGTGGAGGGCTGCAGCCATGAGTGTATTCTAAAGACACCAGAGTTGGTTAATGACCTTCCTTTGTGATTATCCAGCAGGCTGCTCACTTTAAAAATGAACTGTAAACTAATTACTATATCCTCTGGACCAAGGGTGTTTATATTCTGCATACGCCACAGGGTTAGAAGATCAACCAAAACAAACAATCCTTGTAATAATGTGAAACAGTATTCTATTACAGAACCTACCCCCCCACTCCATTTGTTTGTTGTTACTTATGCCAAGTGCTTCTTTTTTGTTGTTATTAGAGGGAAGTTAATATTTTGAAACACTTAATACCTTGCGTGATTTCCAAATATTCCAGTATTTAAAAACAATCAGCAGTTCACAGGCTGCACTAGACTGGTACGTTCAGATCTTTTGTAGCCATAATAGGCTTTTTGACTAGGTGCTTGAAACATAATACTTATATTGAATGTAGTAAACTGTATCCAAGATAGCTGGTTCATAGTAGTTCAGTAATTTATAGATTACTGGCATGCTCAATAAGATTCAGTGATACTGCACATCCTGTACAAAGTGACTGAATCTCAGCGAGCAAGAAAGCTATAAATATTTACACTTGTGTTCCTTCCAGCTGCTTTTTTGCATGTTTACACGAAATTTCCTAATTTGTTCTCCAAAGTGTTGTTTTCCTATCTGTGTCTGAAGGTTTTAGCTCTTAAAAGAAAACAGGCTATAAATGGCTTCCAAGGTTAAAGCATTCCTCAGACATGACAGACCAAAGGCTTTAATCTTTGTGTGGCTCCCGAAAAACCCAGAGATGACACCACATCTGGTACAAGGATATTGCCCCTTGTCATTAGCTTAATTGTGCTCCTCTGCATCACAATTACTATAGCAAGGAAATTGTCTAGGCTGGGGCCATGACCAGTGTTCCAATTTTCACTTTGATTCTGGCACCTTTTCCCAGTTCTGCAAACTTTATTTTCTTTTGGCTATCAAGAGAAACCCACAATTCATTTATATGCTACCTTTAAACAGTCCTGAAATGGAAAGGTCCAGGCTGCATCTATACTTCATACTTGCTCAACTTTATAGTTCTTTAATGTCAGAAGACATAGTTTTATAATTTAAGGAAACTTAACTTTTAAATTTAAGAAGCAGTTGAATTGAACAAAATCTTATGTAGTTACAGTGTCTAGCAAAGGTAATAGTAAGCACCCTTCCTACTGTACAGTATGTCGCAATGATATGCCATTTTGTAAAATTACATGTTTTTTTTAAATTAATATTGTTAGAACGTTTGGGATATATACATTTTGGCCATGTTTGAAAATGCTGTGAGTTCTTCTATTTCTCTGGTACAGTTCTGGTGATAGAGTAATAAATCAGTGTCATACCTTGGCAAGACATATATTTACAATTAATAATTAAGACAGCTACACAACATACAAAGATTCATGTACAAATTAAAGCATTTCAGAGGCCTAAATTCACAGAACTAGCACCCCAGAATTCTACCCCATCACCTGAAAGCACTACAGCACTAAAAAAGCCAAAGATAGAATAATCCAGTGTCCTAATACAGTGATACATGAATATCAATAAGAACTAAATCTCCCTTCCTACTACATGGATGCCAGAAAGTTAACAGGAATCAATCTCCCTTTTCTAAAAATGCATCACAAAATTAGACTAGAATATTTAGTATGAGAATTCATTAAATAAACTAAATCTTCTAAAATAAATACGACAGAAAACTGATCTAAAACTTATCTAAAATAATGTTCAGATTACATAGCCAGAATCTAGTCTTTACTGATCAGAACAACATCCTCTCACATGGCAAATGTTTGAAGAAGAGGTGTGTATTCTCCTGTTTTTCTGTCTTCCTTCCTCCTTATGACCTCTCTTTGTTTGTCTCTGTATTTATGTTGTGCCCTATGGCTATTAAGTGTTTATTCTTCAGTATGGTTCTAATGATTTACTATTAAGTTAATTAACAAGAATTTGATCATTTATGTTTACCATCTACTTAGCCCACCTACACTTCAATTGATACCCTTTTTCTGTGAAGCTTTCTGGGATAGGCCTTGAGTATAGAGTAGTGCAAGATGTAAAGTGCAAATGACTGGATCTTTATACTATTTTAATATCTTAATATGTTATGCTGAATATTTCATTCAAACCCTAATGCTAAAACTGAAGACTTCTAAAGTAAGATAAGTTACAGTAAATGTCAGCAAGAACTAACAGAAAAAAAGGTTGATTGCATAACAATTCAGACCCGTGAACTCAATACTTGGTAGAAACACTTTTAGCAATAATTTCAGGTGCAATACGTTTGGGTAAGATTTTAATTACATTGAAGACACTCATCAGTGGGGAGGAGAACAGGGTAATGAAGTAAATTTATAGGGGGGAATTTGGCCAGGACACTGAGGTAATACTCCTTCTCTTTTTGAGAAATGCCCTGGGATTTTTAATGGCCACTGAGACTCAGGACCTCTGTTTTACTATTCATCCAAAGGAGAGCATCTTTTTTACAGTATAAAGTCCCCATCACTATACTGGGGCAGTAGGATCCACACAGGCTGCAGGGTGCGTACCCCTTACTAGCCCCACTAACACCTCTTCCAGTAGAAACCTTAGGTATCCTAGGAGGTCTCTCATTCAAGTACTGGCCAAGCTCACACCTGCTTATCTTTAGTGGGTTACCAGTTGTGAGTTGCAGGGTGATAGAGTTTCTGGCTATAAGATGGGTTTGCTATTCTGTCATATAGACCAGGGGTGACTGGGATATTACTGACTGATGCACATTTTTGTCTATTTTAGCCACTGAGCTGTGTAGTTATTTCTATGTTGTCATTGGCCTTAAAACAGTATCCATCACCCATTTCCTGCTTGCCCAGCAGCTCACTTAGAGGGATGAACTGATCTAGGCAGTGTCTGGGTGCCTTCCACTTCTTTATGATAGACTTCACTGTGATCAATGTAATATTAAAGGTTTATGAAATTTCTGTATACTCTTATCATGCACTTTGCCTTTATACAGCTTTATTCTTGAGTTGTTTTGAAAGCTCCTTGATCTTCATAGTTGAATCCATGCTTGAAATTCACTACCCAGCTGAGGTAACTAATGGAGACAGGTGTATTTATTGTGAAAACATGTGAAGCACTGTTATTGCACACAAATATGGCCAAATGGCTTATTTTTGAAGGCAATTTTGTACACCTAAATTGACAGAGCAAAGGGTTTGAATACTTATGCAATCATGACTTTTCCATTTTTTGTTCTTATTAATTATCTATCGCTTCTTTTTGCTTTTTTTTTCTTTGAATGTGTGAAGTAGGTTGTGTACAGTATATAACCTATATTAATTGATCATTATAAGTGCCATGAGCACAATCTACATGACAAGTCATGATTTCATATAAAATTGTCATATGTTAATGTGTAGTATTTTTAGGTAAGCTGATAAAAAACCTATTTAAATAGGCATTAAAAAGACATGGTTTTAATCAATAGAGAAACACAAAAGAGGAACTATGACCCACTTGGGTTATGATGATTGCCTACTTACTATTTTTATTATTGAAAACAGCCTGTCTATGAGAGAAACTACCTATAGAATTAGATGGCGGCAGACAAGTTGAGGAACAGGCCAAATCTTGGCCAGTACAGTGTCACCACACAGCCCTTGATTGTCACATCTGTGAGACCCATCTGCCTAATTATTCTCAATTGCTCTGACTACATCACAAAAATTCAAAAAAAGAGCTAACCTTTACAGAATGACTGAAGAATGACTGTATTTTATGATTTACATAAAACAAATCCTCTTGATCAAAGGCTGTTAACATGTAGATTAAAACTGAAAAATTAAATTGCTCT